TTTACAGTTAAAATTACAATAGGTTTTTACAGTGTACAGCAGACTATGTAACTTTTGGCCCTCTAGCGGTTTGGCTGTAAATCTTTATTATAGGTTTATCAAAGTGTCTCCAAAGTAAAGACACAGTTTGTAAGCTGAATTATTTTTTCTCTCTCTTATTAATAATATTAATAACAACAACAAAGTCCAGAGAACTACAAATTAGTTGAAAGACAAAATATTTAATTTAATAAACAAACAACAAAATCTGTGGAGCTCCATGTTTGCCTGGCATTTGCTAAAAAAGTAATGGTATACATTTCTCACTGACTTATTTCTGTGGATGTATTTTTTGACTGAGTCTACATGCTCTGACTATTCCTATATTTTAATATGCACATCCTCATGAGTCAGACATCCCTAGTTTTTTGCTTTAGGTCACTGAATAACCCCATGCACCCACATGCATTTAATAAAGTCAGATGGCCGACTCTGCCCTTTCTCATTCCACTGGAACAATATGTGGGCAACTAAGTGGAGATTGACCATGACTGGATCATTCACACTTGAATTAGGGAATACTATATATCATATAAGAAAATCAGAGCCATCACTGTCTGTAAACAATGAATACAATTTTACTGCAATAAGAATTACATTAATAAATCTATATATGTATGTATATATGTGTATATCTTTACAAAACTATTCAGCCAAAGGATAATACTGGGGGGTTATGAACACAAAGTGCAGATTGTTTGGCAGAGAGAGGTGTTTTAGCTTCTGTCAGGTTAGCAGATATACAGTAGGAAGTGCCACTGTATTGTGCTAAATGGGTTAGATTGTTGAGATCTCAGGGTTGGCATCTTGGTTTTAGCAGGTGGGAGGAAATAAATGGTCTGTGCAAACAATAGAGAGACTAACACTGCGCGTTCCACCTGATGGTGTTGTTTTCGCCTTTCTACATCCCTACTGGCGTGTTTTGAAATGGATTTTAGATTCAGACACTGAGAGCTGGGGAATCACAGCAGAGGACAACACCCTCTGATGTCTGCTCAGAACTCTCAGCATCATTTTGTAGTTTACCCAGTGGACCAATTTATGCATCATATACATGCATCGGTGTTATCTAACTAGAAAGGATCAGAGTTTGCTCACTTTTGCAAGGATCAGCTTTTATTTTCTTGCATTCCTCTCAAATGATGCTCATCTGTCTTTAACAACCTGAAGCTATGATTCACAGATGGCTGTAGTTGAAGGTTGTTGACAGTCAGCACTGCTAGTTGATATGAAAATACCCAATAATATGGCAAGAAGACGCCTATGGATTTTCATAGTAGACTAAAAAAACAACAACAAAGTTTTCAGTTAAAAAGGCCATGCGAGTTGAATTAGAAGCTTTTTCAATTTGCCAAGAAGCAAAAAATGACAAATCTGCACATAATTTGAAAATTAAAAAAAATCAATCACAATATAACTTTTTCTGTTTCTGCTGGCAGAAGTTGTGTATCTTTCCTGATTAAATCAGTGATTCTGAATAAATTGGTTGAATGGATTAGTCAATGACCCATCTATAAATACATTAAAAAAGCCACCTGTTTCATTCCTGAATCTGCGTTTTCGAACGAGTCGTTTGAATGAATGATTTACTGACCCACTTATAAAGACAGTCACTTGTCGCCCCCTACTGGTTTAACTATGTAACCTGCAGAAAGGCTCACTAGGGGGCTGGGGGTAGTAGGGCTCCAGCCGTAGAGGCCGAGGCGGGGGCTGGGGCCGCGGCCATGGCCTCCTGAGTCGCCTGCTCCGCCATGGGGCCCGGATCTGGGACCGCCGACCCTCCCACCCCTTTGATGTTTGTTGTTGTATGTTGTATGGCGTGTATCCCTGTGTATTTAAATTCGAGTCTGTGCAGTCTGTCTGTGTCCTGTATTGATCGTCAACCCCTGAGTCTACGTGTGTGATCCTGCCTGTGTTCCTCATTGTTTGCATAAATAAATACCTTTGATGTTAATCCTCTTGGTTTTCGTGCTCCTTCGTCTCCTCGTCTCCGCCACAGTAGGCAGTCGTGACAATAATATAAAAGCCAATTATTTAAGTTTTAACAACATGTTGGCTTTATAATATGTTGTTAGGTACGGTCACATGAGCGAAATTTCATCAAAATTTTACGTGTAAAACGGTCCATTTTCCATTGTCAGGAGTGCAGAGATGTATGAAGCACTGCACTCACAAAAACTAAATTGAACATGAGCAAAATCGGTGTGGTGAACTTTTACGCCCTCACGGGACGCGAAAACAGAGAAAATAAAAGTGTGGACTAGTTGTGCTTTGCTTCATTTTGCCACTTTGCAAACTGCATGCAAAAAGAAAAAAAAAAGAAAGAATAATCTTATTCACTATTTTAGTGTCTGCAATGAGCCTGTTTTGTAGTACACATCTTTTCAAAACGAGGTTGTAGGCATGATACTGCCACATCTCAAGTTAAATCGGACGAAAAATTAGAGCTACACCCGTTTGATGTCGATAGAGTCAGCAAAGTAAATTTTGAGAAAAATCGAGTTAAAGCGATCATGAGAAAACAAGAAAGAAAAATATTAATAATCCATGGCCTCTTAGGACTTTTTTATGAAACTCCCAGTCACGTCTGGATTTCAGACTGGATTTCATCTACGAAATTTCGCAGAGCAAATGGTAAATGTGACCACACATTAACACACCATACATGGGTTTTATACATAACATATATAGCTGCCTTTATATTTTAGGAAGCTCCTCATCTTATAGAAGAATAGAAAAACAAAGAGGTGCTATGTGTTGAAGACACAAAGAACTAAATAGTTTGAAAGTTTACAGATGTTATTATTACTTGCTATTATTATAGAAAATGGGACAGCAATAAGCTTTATTGGATTCTTTATCCTGTTTTTAAGGATTATCTAGTAAGAGGATGTATTAGTAAAACAAGAACAAAGTCTTTGTGAATAGCTGCCAGATTAAAAAACACCAGCACCGTGGCGACTGTTCTTCTCTTGGGTAACTATTAGGTTTTAAGATTTGTTGCCAGAATGCTGGCTAGATGTGCCAGCAAAAGTAGATTGTACAAAGTTTTGAAAAAAGCTTACACAATCCAGACTACTCCAATATGAATCCGCTTGTTTGTGTGGCCAGAAAGCAAGGTGAAAAAGTCATCCAATCCTAGAAAGACAAGTCAGGTAAAATCCATGCTCAACTGGCCTTCTGGGTAATCTGTGCTGACAGGCTGGGCATCTGAGAAAATCTGGCAAGCTGACAGGTTGCCCATCCAGCACTGTGTGGGGAACAACCACACTTGTCAAAGCATATAATGTGCAAAGCTCTTCACTTGAGGGCAGGGATATTTTCTGAGAGAGGAACACATGAAACTCTTAAGAGCAAAGATAAATGGTGTTACTTCATGAAAACGATTATTTTCATAACAGATCAGATTTTCAAGTCCCATGAGTCTCTTTGAAGCCGGAGCCAAAAATCATCACTTATCTGATGCCACAACATGCTGACCAGGGTCAGAGATGGCTGTCGAAAGGGTGGCAGAAAGCTCTTTGAGCGCCAAGACCTGCAGACATCTGATGACGTTCATTTCACGGCTATAAGTGGCAAAGTGTTAGATCTTTGGCAAAGGGAGCCGCATCCTTTACAAACTGTAATTACGGAGCATGTGGCAGTGATTTGGATGGATAGCAGGTGGAGCAGGAGGACAGCCTGTCACCGATCTGTCAGCCAGTCACTGCCACACAGGGCTTGGCACCGGAAAACGCAGATAATAGTCGACTTACGAGCGACGGAGACAACATTCCCTGAAGAGGAGACATGTGAGAGATGGGGGCATGCATCAGTCTGAGGTGAATGTTTTTCAGAGAGTTACTGTGGGGTGAGGATTCAAATGAGGAGATGTGAGAAATGCTCTGTGGGTAATTGAGTGAAATAACCACATATGGATCATGAACCGCATGACGGATGAAATGAATGATTATGGAGTGAAAAAAAAACAATGCCTCCAGTGGTATTAAAGCATACGTGTAATGCATGCATAAGAAAGCACCTTTAACAGTTTTAAAATAGTCTGTTTTATTTCATATACAAATTTCTTTACTGATATTTGGATGGGTGAACAAGTCCACAATAAGGATATAGAAAATGTTTGGTCATCATATGTGTAACTACATAAGGCATACAAAAGACAGCAGGCTACATGACAGCAGCAGAATATAGTACTGCTGGGGACTGGTATTATTATCCCCTACACGGCAATGAAAATGATTTAGTGTGTCTACTGCTATTTTCAGTACTCTGCATTATATATAGTACTCATCCAAAGCATCACGTAGTCTTGAGGGGTTTACGCTTATATGCATCATGTAGTTACTCCGGACAGTTAAAACCTGACTGATTCAATAACATTGTTAGAGTAATAGCTGTAGTAGTAGTCAGAAATACTTATGGACTGTGGTTGGAGATTTTTTTAAGAAGAAAAAAGAAATTAGATAGATAGATAGATAGATAGAAAAAGATTAAAGAAACTCTGTCGATGGTTCCTTAAATATCTTGTTTCAGTATTGCTGACCTTGTCGTATAACAGTAATACAGTTAATATAATAACAATAATACAAAATGAGAAAGTGAAATTCATAGATCGCTGTGGTTTTAATTTCTTCCCTAAAATGAAAATCTATGATATTTTGATGCACTGTAATATATTGGAAGACTCGTACTGGGTATATAAAAATGACGTTTTCCACCACAACCAATAACTGTATCTATTGTGCAAACGCATAACAATTTTGTGCAAAATTGTGAAAAGTGGCTCTTGTTTTCTATAATAAAGCCTCGATATCAGCATTTGTAAATATAAAGTCCAAAAACATCTCAACCAACTTACACCAACACATAAAAGCATTACACAAAGTTCTCTATGTACACAAGTAATGCAACAGATACGTATTTCATATTAAAAACGCTTATTTTAGGAGTGCGCAGACACACCTAAAATATATCACAAAAGCTTCTCACACGTAATCAAACTCAGTGGCCTAGTGTGTGACTGATAAAAATGAAACATTCTGTGATCAAGTTAGACATAGTTTCCTTTCATTTGTTTTAACCTAACATGAATTTTAAGCTACATATAGTGAGTGTAAAGGTTGGCAGGTTTTGTGCCTCAAAGTGGTAAAGGACATGTTGTGCTATGCCTGAGACAATCTGTGCAAATGTTACTGTGAGCTTGTGAAAAGCGCATCACACCAGGTCCATGAGACATCTAGGGCGTTGAGTCAGATCTGTAAACGACACTGGGTTCTTCTGATACTCTGGGAAGATGGGGTCAAGTCTTCTCTTTAGGTTCAGACACTGCAGTCTGTTGAACTTGTGTCTAGCGGTGCTCTTGTTTCATCCAAATCTAGTTTAGAGCTTTTGGAAAACAGTGTCTTATGAGCAGTGTTGAGAACTCTGTTATGAGGTCACCAAGGAGTAGATCATACTGGAAGACAGAACAAACAGACATTACTGACATTGTGTGCAAAAAGTTATACTAAAATAAAAAACTAGAGTAAAATCTGAAGAATTTTTTCTGTTTCTAATGACTGTTGTTCCGAGTCACTAACAAATTACACAACATCTTGGGTGTGGGCCATATTCAAAGTTATTTTGATCTGTTTATTTGAAGGTGGCAAATTAGCTATTTAAAATGCCCATAGAAGAAACATCAGAAGTAGTTTAACGTCAAACATGCACTCATGATTTCAGTGAGTTATGATTAATTAAATCAGTCAAACGAATTTCACAGTTTATGATTTATCTTAAAGACCAAAGTTGTATTAAAGATACATTGAAATTCGTAAATAACAATCCATTTTACATTATGAATTACAGAAGAGCAACCAAAAAAACAACTGGATTTCTATATTTTCTAAAGAAAATGAATGCTTTCTTGTGATAGACAGACAGAATTAATTTTAATTAATTTCAGAATATTTTATTAACTCCATTCCAAACATCACTCCCATCCCGTGCATCAACTTCTCCCTTTATGCATACTACTTTTCGATTCTATGAAACGAGCTTGTGCTCATGGGTTCTGTCAGATAGCCGTTTTAATTAGTTCATTTATTCCCAGCTAACAACAAACACAAAGATGCATTTTGTCCCCAAATTATCCAGCCGAAACCGCAGTATTCGTCCTCAGCTGGTGGAGGCATGGAAATACAAGGCGAGAGGCTTCAAAGCAGCTGATGCTATGGAAAATGACAGCTTCACCAGCTCGAGGATCACTCCGGGCAGGTTGTGTATGATATGGATTGTATTTATTTAGAATGCACTGCCATATGTTGATGTGTGTTGAATTTCTGTGCTGACTTCACACTAGGGGCCATGGATGTCATGCCAGAATGCTGTCCATAGGCATTAATACATAATAAGGGGTTGCCCTGATAAAAACCGCATAAGCAGTTCTTGGCTCATCTTATTATCTTCAGTGTGTGGTGGTTGGAAAAGTAGTGGCGTGGATCCTTTTATATTCCTAATCTTTTCAAAAAGAAAGCAGATCTATTTATGCTCTTTGAAATTATATCACTGCTGCATATGAAGCATATATATTTAACTTAATCAGAAAATGTTTTTTGAATGTTGAGTGTCTTGATTATATTCAGTGCACACAGCTAAAGGCTGGTCTCAAGTCTAAAGATGTTTTAATGGACAACTGCTGTATTATTAAGGACTGTGGCTTATCTGTGTCCTAAAAACATGTTTTTAGTGTTCGTGTTGAAAGTGGAAGATCAATGAAAAATGTATTTCAGCTCTGATCCTAGATATGATCCCGATGGAGCCTGAGGCGAACAATGTTCCTCATGCATTTGCAATCTTTGTGAGAACTAGTGTGATGTTTGCCCAAATCTCTCTTCCACTTCTATCAGAGTGGCACATTCCTTTCTTGAGTCATTAGGTTTGAATGGTGTTTAGAAAAAAGGAACGGCAAACCTACTATTGTAATTGGATGGGTGATGGCCTGGTGCGCTGATATTGGATTTGCAATTGATTTGTACGATTGATTAGTAAGAGGGAGAACAACATTGTGGTTATTACGAAGGGTTAGAGTACAAATTACGTTTGAAGATCAAGCCACAGGGGTTAAACTAGGCAAGGCAAGCAAATGAAAGCATTCATCAAATCAGACGTTATATAAGAATTTATAAAAAGGGTCAGTCTAATTAAGAAATTGAGTTTTGCTGAATGGTCCAAGTTAAGCTCAAGTTAAACATAATGTTGATTACTACAGAAAATAATTAAAACGTGTCCATTAGTAAAATAAAAAATAAAAATAAAAACTGTGACAGCATCCAGAGACTTTAAAGGGGAAAGTGTGATGCTCATATTTTTAAGCACTATAAAATTCTTCCATAAAAACCTGTGTATAATTTGAGCAGTATTGTCTAAATCCTCATTTTGGTGAGACTAATGTTCTAGAAAGATAAACTTGTAGTTATTGGTCACCAAGATAATTCCTGTTAACAGTTAACAAACAGTTGATGGTAGCCATTGACTACCATATGGAAAAAAAAAATACCATGGAAGTCTATATGGCTATGTCAACTGTTTGGTTATCCACATTCTTCAAAATATCTTCTTTTGTGTTTCAAAATATCTTCTTTTGGGTGAACTATCCCTTTAAGTTTAAATTGTACTGAACCCTGAACATGCCTTTAAGAAAGTAGCAATAATAAGCAAGCAAATAAGAGGAAGGGTCAAAGTTACAGAGACCATTGGTGGAGACCCTTGCAATATGATGTGAAGGGAAGTGAGACTGTGAATGTTTCACAATACATGGCACAATTAAAGGCCAGGTGAAGTTTAAGGTATGCAGGATGGTCAAAATCAAAAAATGTCATGACCACTGAGAACTCACATCTGTCACTCCTCAAAGAGTGGGAGTGTACGAAAGATGCTGAACAAAAAGGCTGTATTTGTCCTAGAATTTCAATTGCAGATGCAAATAGCCTTAAATCAACAATCACAACAATCGCCTTTGATCTGACAAAAGGTCATAAGGCCTTTTCGCTCGAAGGGTGAACCATTATAGAATATGTGCATATTAACATTTAATGTGACGTGATATAGTGTGGAGCAAAAAAGGAAATTCAGGAATTCTACCCAAAGGCAAGTTGTTGGCGCCATCCAAGTGCGCAGAGTCCTTGTCAGTTCAAATGCTTGTTTAAGTATACATCTCTGCTATGCTATAGGCTTAAGGCAGCTTATACTATAGCAAAGGCACACACTAAAAAGCATATTTGGCTGTAAAGATATAAAAATCAGTGAACACGTTACACAGAATCCCATTAGTAGGCAATTGAGTTACTCTCTCAATCTCTACTCACCAGTAGAGATAGTAGAAGAATGAGAGGACGAAGAAGGACATCTTGCACCAGGCTTCTTTTTGGCAGAATTTGAGTGTGTCTCCATTCATGACTGATGCTGGATCGTAGAGAAGCTCCTTAGTGTCTGTGGGGCTGTGAAAGTACCTGCCGAAAATGGGAAAAAAACACGAGCCGGGTAGCGCTTCTTGAAACATTATGTGCACCTTTGCATTAAATTTTTGTTTGCCTTTCATTCCATTTAATTTAATTTATTATTAATTTAATTTAATAATTTAATTGAATTTTTATCTAATGCAAAGTGTAGCTGGTCTAAACCTCTTTACTCTAAATATTTCTGTCAATCTAGGTAGTCCTTGGAGATGGATGACTTAAATATAGTCCGTAATTGTCAGACAAGGAAAAACGTCACCCCTGGTGCAATAATTCTATTAAGGAAATCGAAAACAAGGAGTGGGGGCTTTAAGCGCATTAGGAGGAAAACGTGAAAGAATTAGAGCAAAACAGAGGGAAGAACAGAGTGACAGCGCATTATAGCAGCATCACTGTGGAAAGAAAGGTAGATTTATTGCAAGAAAAGAAATAAATCTGGTAAGAAAAATTATTGATAGTGAGTTCAACCAGATAATCAAACATAACTTCATAATAAACAAAATCCACCATTACTATTGTACTGGTTAAGTTCAGCGTTTCATCATTCTGCAAAAAAAAAAAAAAAATAGCAGAAGCACAGCAGAACTATCTCTCATACTCTGAGGATTGTGGCAGTAATTGACAACAGCTCTGAACACTCAGTAACAAACCCCGAAGAAAGATTTAGAGCTCCACTGCAAAATGACTGAAACTCATTTTATCCCAGTTATGATTTCCCTAGTTGTTTCACTGTGTGATGAAACATTCAGTCTGCTATTAATCATCTAGAAAAATTTCTAAGACCAATGCGCAGTGACAAGATTAGAAAGACACTGTGGCAAGGATCTTTAATATAGGAAAATTAGGAATGGGATTGATCTGAACATTGATAAAAGTGATGCTGTACCAAGAGGATCAGTCCTCACATAAAAACACTGATTCGCATTAAAATAATAAATTAATAATAATTATTATTATTTATTTTGAATGAAAATTAATATGAAGTTTCCACTTAATATAAAATCAAAGGCTATAGCAGGGACAGGTTTGCTCTATCAGGACACATGCTTTAGTGAAATCTGACAGGTAGTAGGCACAGCTTATTTAAGAGGAGTAAAGGCTGGTTCAGGTGCTCACCTCCATGTGTTGTAGAAGAGCAGAGGGATATTCAGGCCTACAGTAAGCCACTCCTGAGCACACAGGAACATGATACAGAAGAGCCCATGGATAGAGTACTCTGGAAGCACCAACTAAAGAGAACACAGATAAATAACTATGGGTACAACTGGGTAGAAGACAGTGCTCTGATTTAGGTCTGATTCTTGCAGCCAGATATATGGATTTGTCTTTGATTCATTCTTAAAGGGATAGCTCGCCCAAAAATGAAATTCTGTCATTCTTTACTCACCCTCATGTCATTCCAAACTAACTTATTTTTTCTTGTTCTTGTTCTTCTTCCACTCTGTTTTTAAGAGTGACTAGGATATTTGGCCATGATTACATTATAGAGAATAGGCATAATATTCTGAAAAGCCCTAAGTCAGGGTAGCACCATATTTAATTTTTGACAGAAATGAAAACAAACCTGTGAGGGATGGAAGTACAGTGCATTCAATGGCTTGTACTGTTAACAACACCAATAATCCAGCTGATGAAATGTATTTCAGTAGACAAAAACTCCGAAAACTGTGAGTTATTGGAAATTGTGATCTAGTACCTTCACAGGGCTGTACGTTAACTTTTTTTTCACATAGCACTGGTGCTACAGAGGTTGAAAGTTTTGTAGCACAGGCCAAAAAGTTGTAGCACAAGTATAAAAAGTCTGTTATCATGTCTGAAAACAAACACAAGTAATGGAGTTCATCACTTAAACAGGCACTGATGTTCCATACAGAGCACAAAAAATACAAACCATCGCAAAAATTGTTTTAGACAAAGTTTTCTTAATCATACGGCTTTCAATTCTGTCATAGTGTTTCAATTTTATACCATCATTTACTCATGTTGTTTTAAACCTGAATTCGTTTATTTCGTCTGTTGAACATAAAAGTTATTTCTGAAGAAAAGTCAGTGTGACTTTTACTGTAAAAGTCAGTGTGGTCCAGCTACTGTTTGGTTACTCACATTCTTCAAAATATCTTCTTTTGTGTTCAGCACAAGAAAGAAATTAATAAT